CCGAACTCTGTGCTGAATCAGCCGGCAAGGATCGCTCGCCGAAACTCTAGAATCTCCAACTATAGATGTATGGTGTCTGAGACACGTATATTGGTTTCAAGTATGGTTATTAAGGTGACCTCACCTGACCAAAGTAGTGAATCTTCAAAATTCACCGTACTAGTATCTGGATATCCATTGATTAGTTTCGTAGACTTGCTGTGGTAAGCATAACATTTAAGTGTAGGGAAGAAAGTTCGCTACTCAACTGGATACCAGTGAACAACCGTCTAAGCTGTTCTACTTAATGGATCTATAGGAACTGGGAAGGATCGTGAGACTATGTGGTGCCTATTTGTAACCTTCGCCTGCGCACCCACCGACTGCAGTCCGGATGATGCGAAGGATGAATTCTATAGAAGGCTGTAAACCTTGCTACAGAGAAGAACGTTCAGATATGATCGTAATGGCAGCTGACTTTAACTCTGAAGTAAGAGCCTGAGCCAATCTGAAAGACATGCAGACTAACCGACAACGGTGATCGTCTGTTGCAATTTCTCTGCGACATTCATTTGTTTCTGTGCAACACTAACTTAAGACATAGGGAGGGTCACTGTCTTACATGGTGTCCGCCGACAACCAACCAACGATAAGCCCTGATAGATTATATTGGTATAAGTTATCGTTGGAGAGGGTCTGTGGGAGATTGTTGCTCTTTCTGGACTATTAGCACTCACTGGTATGGGCTTGTGTATGTCTGAGCTTTAATGGTCACAGGAAATAGGCGATAGTAAAGCCTGTTTATACTTGAGTGGAATACGAGGACGCCAAATATCCATTTAGGGAAGAAATATCTAAGCATATATCTGAACGTGACAATGGTCATCTTGAGGAAACCTGTCGTGATGTCAAGTCTGCTGTAGGAACAGCGATAAAAACAATTGGTAACCTATACACCAATGTAAGCAAACGTCATTGGATTTCCGCGACGTGATCTAAAATTATTGATGCGAAAAGATTGATTCTAGCTGGCTCTGACCACGTTTATGAGCGAAGGCAACTCAAACGTATGCTGACCAAGAGGCTTTACAATAATCGCCAGCACCAGGGAGTGGCGAAAGTGAGACAAATGGAGAAGACATCAGTGTTGGGTAACACTTGGGAAGTATTCAGGATACTGACAAGAAGGAAACGATAGTTATTGAAACTATCATGGAATAGAATGGGACTTTGATAACCTCCCAGAACAAGCGACTAGAACGTTGGGCAGAACACTTTCAAGCACCATTAAACTGACCTACAGAAACGCTTCAGTTGCCCAACATCCAACCTGAATGTGAAGGTATGTTTATGTCAGTTCTTCAACTCTCCTTGAAGTTTAAGAGGCTGCATCAAACCTGAAACTATGCAAAGCAGCAGGACCTAACAGTTTGCCACCCGAAGTTTTCAAAGATAGAGGCAAGAAATTTCCGGTTAGATTGACGGAGGTACTGCATAGCGTATGGGAATCAGACGTAGTCCCGTCATATTGGTTTACCTCACTGATCGTTCCAGTGTATAAGAAGGGAGAGAAATCTTCTTATGACAACCATAAGGGAATTAGTTTAACCAATACTGTGTTCAAGGACGTAGTGTCCATGGTTATTCGACGCCTAACTAGAGCTTGAGAAAAGCAAACTCGAGAAAATCAGACAGGCTTCAGACGGAGCTGAACTAGGGTGCAGCAGACATATTTTTAACCGTCGATAGGTTCTAGTTCAGATAGTGGCTGACATTTGCCATGTTTATTGTACTGAAGGCGGCATTTTACTCTGTCGACCTTGATTTGTCGCAGAATCTGACTGCGAAGAGAGTACTCGATTTATTGATGCCGTGTCACGACCTATGAAGAGTTATAATGTGAACTGACGACAACTAGTGGTGTTCGCTAGGAATGTCCACTGTCACCATTTCTATTTAACTTCGTTATGGATGTACTAATGGACATAACCTTATGTCCGTGTAGTGATATTCTTCTACTGGGTGATGACGCTGACAAAATGCAGGGTCTTCTGAACGCGTTGAGAATAAATCTAAGTATGTTTCTGATACGCTTCGCACTTGTAAAATGCATGATGATCGTCTGTAAATACTCCCAGTTCAGTGTTTGGGAGTGCAGTGGTGAAATGTGTCTACTGCTTCACTTATTTTGGGGGTTGCATCATCCCAAACTAGTTGATTGCTGGTAAGATCTCAGCTCGTATACAGATGCCTTGTTTGACATTTACCAACTGGAGTCATAGGTGGCGCCGGCGAGATATCGAAGTGTCTTTCAAAAGAAGAGGATATTACACTACACTCCGTTATGTCCTGTTTTATGGCTGTGAGACATGGCCAATTAAAGTGGAATGACGTAAAAGGATTACTTAATTTCGATCACAGGTGTCTTCGTAGTACTGCTCGTATTTGGTGGGATCACCGCGTGAGCTGAGCAGTGTTGATGTGAGGCGTAAGGTAATAGGGAAAACAGGCAATTCGATTGTTGACATTGCTTCTACTTTTATATCAGTTGTTTTCTATCCACCTGTTCTTTTTATGCTACTATGTGGTGTGAGAACTTGAATTGATGCACCTGTTTGTGAGATTCTGCGTTGGGTTTGTTTCTCAGTCATTCAGTCACGCACCTTCGACCGCACAAGGTATCTAACTCAGGACTTTCAGATCTCGCAGAGAACACATTAAGCATTCAGCCATTGGGTCAGAGTTTATTGGTTCACAATTTCCTACTTCTGTCATTCGCCATTCATCACAACTATTTTACTAGGTCTTCAACTGTCTATCACCTCACTCGCGACTGCTTGACACAATACATCCTGGCTTTGTTGAGGAATCGCATACTGGGACGAAACTGCTGTCCAAGGCTCACAGGTTTTCGTAGTACTGCAAATATAAGCTGACGTCATCAATGAAACTGTAAAAGGGAAGGCACTCGTTCCAATTTTAGCATCATAAACAGTCATTGTCATTAATATCAACATACGGCCTGGCAGTACTGTTCAACGGTCCGAGTTACCACACTTCATATCAGCACAACAAGTAACAAAGTAGTAAGGTGAAAGATGAGGAAAGAGAAACAAATTGGTCAGAAACAACAAAAAGCAGTAAAAGAAAGTATAGGAGAATGAAGAAATAGTGAATTCAGTATGACAAATAAGATACATCTATCCCATTGACATCCATTCTGCTCCAAATCACCTAATCTTCAGCCACTTATTTCTATTGTCACGTGAACCCTTACCAGCTAGTCTACATCTCCCAACATGGTTCAACCGAACTATCGAGGACTTCATGCGTTGATGTTATGTTTTAGTCTGGCCGCTGCGAGCCTTTTTCCAACCTGGACCTACTTCAACCAACACTGAGCGATGAGGAAGGCGGTGACTAGACATGCGTAACACATGTTCCAGCCACTTATGTTGATGAAGGCTTACAGTCGCATCAACTGACTTTTCTTCTCCCCTTAAAACCGCACACGACTTTTCTTTTACTGACATGATGACACCACAATTCACGGCCTATGCTACGATGGCAACGGTGGTCAAATAACTGAAGCCTTCTCATGTCCTCTCCGTCTAATAGCTTTGTTTTACAGTTACGCAGTATGAGAGAGGGAACTGCAGTACAGTACACTCGACTCATAATTAGCCCATACGCCAAAGATGGTGTATGAATGCAGATTTTGTCGACCACTTATCAGCGCACCAGAGTTGATCCGACTTCCCAGGTAAGTGAGGTGGTCAATGCATTTGACTGTGTCCAGAAAACTCTTGTCAACATCTTTACCTAAGAAGACGGTGTAATCTGCGTACTCGAGATCTTCCAATGATTCTCCTCTGATGAGGTCATCCTCTGTGAAGTCAGATAATGAGAGCAAGAGCTTCATAACAATACCTATATCAAAATTGAACAGGGATCGAGAGAGTCAACATCCTTGACAGACACTAGTCGGTGTGCGCAGCTTACCTAACAAATTACCGTGGGATCTAATATTCACCTTATTTGCTTTATTGTCCCTCTGTTTCACTGTTTTAGAGTACCTCAATTTGAGTTGTTTCACTTTTCTTTTGAGGTCCAGTTGAACTCTGACAAACAATAAATGTTTTGCTTCGTTAGTGACGTTCTGATATGCGACGGAACTATGTCTATATATTCATGAATATTAAAGATGTTTTCATATTTATTAACAAGACGATGTAGCTTATTTTCTTTGAAGTACATCATTCTGTTGATGAGTCAGAGGTATTTTAGGTTAGTACATCCATAGGGAAATAAACCAGTAACGCTGACAGGTGGGATTTCTGGCAAAAACCAGTGGTTATCATCAATTCAAATGACAACTTTCCAGAAGCCCTTACACGATTACATCAGTTCGAGTAGAGAGCGTCAATTTTTCGTTACTCCTTTCTTCATAGTCAGATACTTTCACAACAGTTCATGGTCGATAGAGTCAAATGCCGCCTTCTAGTCAAGATATACGGTAAGTATCTGCCGTTGACTGCTAGGAATCTCTGTGTTTCAAAACCTGTCAGAGGATGAAAATATAATCCATACACTCCTATCCAGCTCTGTCTGAAATCTGCCTGGTTTCCTAAAGTTTGTTGTTCTCGAGCTCCTGTTAGGCGTCAAGTAACTACAGACCCCATGGTCTTTTATTCAATATTGATTAAACTGAACTCCTCCTTTTTATAGACTACCTACCTGGAAATATAAGCTATTACGCATAGAGAAAAAACGACAATCTGAAAGGTAGCAATACTTTTAATTCCCACTCTTTCATGTATCTAAGCTTCCTCACAGCAATCATTGAGATATAGACTGAAATTCTACTTCACCAGCTTTGTTTAACCTAAATAACCAGTTACTACCTGAACTCCTTATATAGTTATGCATGATTCATAACCTAGGCGATATATCAGTGTGTATTTCATGTGTCTTACTCTGTTGAACTTGTGAAATACATCTATTCTGTTTTTACTTTACAGTTGATGGTCAGTCTTCTGGAAACTCTGACACTTCACGTCTACCTATCTCATCATCGCGCCGTAGTCAAAGAGATCGACTAGGAAATATTATCAGTGAACAATCCAATCGTTGCAACATGAACAGCATGACTAGTACTAGTAGTAGTAATGCAACAGAGGAGTCATTTACAAATCAACATGTTTCAGGCATAAAACACCTACCTGAACAATCACAGCAAATAGATCTTTCTCAATGTACTGTGCATATACGTGGTTTATCACGTCCTGAAGTAACTCATTTGAATCGTAATGCATTGGGCGCGATTGCTGCTTCAGCTGTCAGTCCTCTGATATCATCTGCTAATATTACTACACCTTCTAGTCAAATTATTCACCTACCTTCTTCAATGAATAGCTCCATTTCAACCTGTAATGATGTGGTTACAAATAATAATAATATCTCTGTGTCGACAACAGCTGTACGTGATATAAGCTATCGAAATAAAATATCGAATGAATTGAACAATCTGATTGGTTCATCATCGGTGGTGGGACCTCAGCCTACAGTTACGTCTAGTAATCCATTACCACAGCTTTCACCTCAGTTTATGTTTAACGTTGTCACTGAGACTGTCATCAATGGTGTACGAAGACAGGTGGTAAAGGTAACAAGGTGAGTTGTGAAGTACATAATTTGACTTATCATAGACTTGTTGAGTAACAGTTACCACCAAACACTAAAGAGCATGTCGATCACTGATTTTTCTCATTTTCCTTGGTTTTCCTCAATTCGTTGCTCATTCAATTGAAGCACAAATGCACTTTAAAGAAATTTGTTAGGCAAATAGTTTGATGATGTACAAAAAACCATGAAGCCTAGGCGTGGAACTTCCCCTATAGACTAACTCTTAATATCCGACGCCACAGTGTCACGCATCATTTGGCGTAGTTGTCACATTACACACCTTAGTCACATCCAACCACTAATTACTAGACAACTACATTGGTAATTATCCACTCAAGATCAATTCGTATAAATTATAAAAAGATTATTCAGAGAAGAGAATTTTCTCTTCGATGGAATCATTTTCAGAGGTTATACAATCATAATCATTAATTACAACAAAATATATATGTCTATCAATAGCTAATTGGTTACTACAAGGTCATCGAAAGCAATCACTGAGGTCACAAAGTGATTATGGTTAGATGGTCAACCCAAGGTCATCGAAAATTGCCTATAGGATTACACTAAATTAGCAAATAATAAATAAATATGTAAAATGTTATAGGTAGATTATGATAAAGGTAAAATTAGAGATTGAAGGTATCTCTTGTGAACTGAGAGATGAAGGTAGAACCTCTAAATTGCCAAGGTGTTTTGGTGTGTTGTGGTATGGAATTCTCACTTCCTTGGAAATGTTTGATTTGATTTCCTAAATGACTTTGAGATGCGATTCTGGTGGAGGAAGTTGACTAGAATAAAAGAGATGCTGAATAGTCGATCTGTTGATGACTTTACACTCTACTTTAGATAGGCATACAGGGTAGTGGAGTGGATGTGTCTGTATGGAGTATGCTTTATACGGTAAATGTAACGAGTTATCCCATAGTATGTGAGTTGATCGATATGCTTTGAGGTGGCCTGAGGTGCTAGTTTTTCGTTTATACAACACTGTTGTATCAGTTATTGACTAGAGAAAACATTCTGAAGTTGGGTGGAAAAGAAGGTGTTCTTCAATGCTGTACACAATCTATTCTTGATTATCTCTGCTCATGCATCTATTTTAAATTCAGTACTCACCACCCAAAGCCATCGTTCAGTAACTGTCCTTATGGCCATCAGGCTTTGCCCCCACTAGTCACGACTCATTGGAACCTCGGGAATACCTTTCGAAGCTAGTCACCAATGAGCATCAGTTCAATTGGATTTTGAGGGAGTTGTGGGGATTTAGAAATATTTCAAGTTGTTATTCATCGTAGACTGACATCAATTGGTGGGACAAATGAAACCTGGGAGTACTGGACAGCTGTTTCTCCTAGTATGAGATTCCTGGTGCTCACTGGTGACTAGCTTCGAAAGGTAATCCCAATGTTCCAATGAGAAGTCATGATCAGTGGGGCAAAGCCTGATGGTCGTGAGGACAGTTACTCAACGATGACATTGGGTGGCGGTTGTGCTATATCGTGAGCTAACACAAGTTGGAAACTGATGTCAGTCTATGATGAATAACAACTTGAAATATTTCCAAATCCCCACAACTCCCTCAATACTCAAAAAATGAAAGAAAAGGAGACAGCATTAATCGTACACACTTGAGTGAACATAAGTCAAAATATTGAACTCATAAGAGATAATTCAGAGAGTCAATTGAAGCGTCTATCTAACAGCCCTTGATTTCAAATGAACAGCCAAATCACTTTGAAGTAAAACACTCTAAAAACAGTCACTACACGTTGTTTTTCTCATGAATACAAGTATTGATGGACAAGTCGTCAACATAACCTGGAAGGGCTCAAAATGACATAACTAAACAGAATTCTAGCATGATAATGAAAACAATGATATTCTAAACAGTAGACAACAAGGTGATAAAATAGAAAGCCAGAATAACATGTGCTAACGATAATGGCTTTATCCTCTAAAATATTTCTCAAATACTTTACAGAATTATTTTCAGCATTCCTTATAGTATTAACTAGACAAAAACACTGTATGTGTGTATATGAAATGTATATGAAATAAGTAGACATTAAATATATGAAAGATGAGGGTATTTTCCTTCATGTACAATTTTCTTGAAAACTGTAGAGTTAATCTAGGCAGCAAATAGTCACATTAGCAATTCATTTCATAATACATAAATAACATCAAGTTGGTTTACTCTTCAATTAGTTTGCTATCAGAAACAAAAGTTTCTAACACTTTCTTCATCACACAGAATACGAGCTAAATACCCTATTGTAGAGATTTTATATTTAGTAGCAGTACGTGCATAAAGTCTCATTTACCTCCTCCTCCTTTTGCCTGAGGACTGACAAGTAGAGAACCTTGAATGGGAAAGATGCTGATCATCGGAAAAAGTAACTCCTGTCAACTGTTTTCACGAGTTGACATGATTGTCCACATCTATTAGTGACACACTTCTAAGAAATACATTATTGTAGTCTTTTCCCAGCACCCAACGAAATAATAATCGAGAACAACAAAGGAGAATAGGCAAGATGCAGGAGTTTATATAACACACGACAACAGTCTGAGTTATACTAGATATTCTCAGCTTCCTGATCTAAAAAGTTAACCAGAAGATTCTTTTGGAAATTAGCAAGATTTGGGAGAATCAGGAAAGGTCTGAAGAAAATTACACACCGAAATACATCACTCTTGTAACATTCTCTTATACACAACCAACAGTAGATCAGGAATATTATATTATCATCTGAAACTGAAGTTTATATATAGTCTGATATTTTGAAGAAATAAGCACACGACCATTTTCACCAACGATCATTGTCTAATAATCGATGGGAAACCGTTCATTTGGGAGACAATCCGTTGAAGAGGAGACAGGTATGAAAAGTGTAAATTTGACAAAATTCTTGCTAGGTGTAGATGGCAAGTCATCCAGGAAGAAGGAGAAGGGACCAGGGAAAGAACGGTAACTTGGGAAACACCTGCCTCAGTGACATGACATGACATGAATCACCTCCCACTGGAACAGTATATACTCAAGTGTAGTCTACAAAGACACATCTGACATATTTGTCATTTCTATCAAGATTATAAGCAATAGTGTGATATAAAGCAGTGGTGGAATCCAGACTGCTTCTTTTATTTTTGTATGCAAATTGATTAGGATGTCCAAATACCTTCAATCAGGGTTCAACCGAAGTTAATATTAGTTTCTCCATTATGTTCAAAACCGAACGAGTGACTTCACTCGTTCACTCGGATGGAATTTCAAGGATTAGGTGTGAATAAATCTGTATGAGTACAGTTGATTTTCAGCCAACTCACTTGAAATCTGTAACTGTGAAATTCAGTTGTTGCATGATCTTGAATCCAAAACTCACACTTCCATACAAACGAAGACTACCTACTGGATCCATTGTGAACAGCAATCGAAGTATTCACAGATGAGTATAACGTTCAACGAAATTTCAAAGATATTCTAACAGAAGTCAGATATTGAAGGAATAGTAATTTCGACGGTCACTTTAGACGGTGAAACAGCAGAGATGATGGTATGTTTAATAAGAGGAGATAAAGTTGGAGAATAGCACTGTCATTTACATACAATGTCGTTGTGTGGTAACAGAAGCGACAGCCTATTGAAGGCAATAGAAAAAAGCCCTTCAGAACATTAATGTCAGCAGTTTTTATATAACAGGCGGTAGGCCACTCGTAACGACTAAAAGTCATTTCTGTTGTGTTCACACACGAACGTATCTATACTGGGTGATGATTGAAGGTGAGATGGAAATTTGGGCTGCAACCAGATTCGAATCTGCGACCACCGGATTTCTGGCCCGATACTCTACCAATTGATCTACGAGGTTCAACTGCTGACCAGATTTTTATCAAGGAGTTTTGCCTGACTACCATGTGAATTCGTAAGGCGTTACTACCTTCAATCATCACCCAGTATAAATAGTAGTCTGCCAAACTACGGTTATCTCAGATAGTCAAATAAAAACGAACGTATCTGTTAGAATATTTATGTACCTGTGAGGTTTATGATAAAGTTGATCGACACCACTCTCTATAGGTACTAACACACACACATAGATGTTCGAGTATAGACCCTTGAATACAGTGGTTTATTTACCTGGCTCCATCCTCACTGAAAGATACTGCCATAAGATGTTAGCTCGATGAAGTCAAATCCCGCCTTCAGGTACAGAAATACAGCTAGTGTCGGTGTCAGTAACTGTACCTGTGTTCCAAAACCTGGCAGAGGATAGCTTTGTGGTCAATACATACAAAATTAAGTTTAAAATCGGCATGGTTTCATAAGGTTCCCTGTTCCTTAGCTCCATTTAGACGTCTAATAACTACAAAACCTAGATACCATGTTCAACAGAGTGATTCTCCTAAGTTTATCGCAACAGGATTTCTCTATTTTCTTGAACTTTGGGACATTCAGTACTTTAGACCAACTAGATCGAGTAACATGATTGCATAATAACATCATATTCACATTACCTCCTGATTAACTTGGGCATAGGCACAAAAGATGGCAGAAAAATTGAACAAAATAGATCTCATCGATGGTAGAAATTTACTCCATTTACACAAATAAGCCGACATACTTTGTCACAAATGTAATAGGTACAGTAAGTTTAACTAATGATTGGTAGGTAAAGGCGAATAGAATGAAGTTCATATTCAACTTGTTAAAACCATATTCTCTTTCAGATAACTAATTACAGTCTCACAGTGCTCAGTACATTCAGATTTCTATCACGTTTGAAAAATAAGAAAGATTGTTGACTATATCACATCCATTATTACTATAACACTAGATGGAACGATGGATAGGCATAGAATGCTACTTACATGATTTCTATCTTTCCTACCAGGTGTCTGTCTGCACAACTTCTCTACTAAGTGCGGAACCTGAAAATCAATAACTTATCGCTTCGACAACAAGAAAATCATTCACTGGATTCTTGAGTTACGACAGACATGTTTTTCAAGATAGCTGTACACCATATACAATCAGTGGCACACGTTATTGAATGAAGAGATTTATTTCATAGATTGGTGAATTTAAACCACAGCAATCATCCACTGTTGTTTATCATTATTATTTGTTCTTTTGGTTCCTAGTGAAACAACAAAGCTTCAGTTGCATGTCACCATTTCACTCTCTTCTCAGCAGTTTATTAACCTGACACCACCACTGTCCAGAAGCCTGAAATTACAATTCATTGTCTGACATTTGGAAGAATTAAGCCAGAATCACTCATGGAGGATTATCGTTGAATAGTAGATAGGAAAATGTTCAGTTGGGAACAGTCTGTTGAAGAGGAGACAGGTATGAAAAGTCGTCAAGTCATCAGCATATTGGATAAGATTGGTGCTAGATGAAGATGATGAAGAAGAAGTCATACAGAACGAAAGGAAAGACTGAAGAAGAAATGACATCATATGACACTTTATACATTTTAACCAGCTAAATTCTGAAATACTTCCATATCCTTTTAAAATATCGATTTTAAATTGTTTTTCCGTCAGTATATCTCGCCAAACTCATCTGACTTTCACTGAAATGATGATAACAATGTTTGAGTCATTGATCGGTTTAGTTAGATTTTTAACGATCAGTATTTATTACTAATTCCGGTTTTGAAGTTGTTTTTTTTTTCTCGGGTTTTTTTTTTCGCTTAGAAAATACTCAGAATTTTATGTTCTTGAACAAAAGTTGATAGAATTTCATGGTTCATTTATTACAAAACAATTACCTCGACGTCAGTTAACACCACGTTCAATGGAGTTTCTTGAAAGTAAATGTGAAATCTTTGAAAGTTATCTACAGGTAACCGAAATTTATTCTTTCATCTTAGAGGTTTGTTTACTTACCATTCTTTCTGTTTGCCTGTACATTTTATTGGTTGTAATTTGAATAATCCAAGAAAAACATATTTTGGTCAAAGCTACCGCCAAAATTGGTTTCAGAAAGATAAAAGTATAGATGTACTAGTTGTTAGCTTCCCTATTTAAGTTTTCAGGTTGTGTGGAGTGAAAAGGTCATTTTGGAATGCAAACCTAGCAGGCGGATAATGGTAAATTACCTTCTGCACTTTTTATCCTGCTGAATCTGGCAACAAAGAGCACCAACGGCATTTTTCCCAATGTTTCTGTAATTGATATCAGTTCATGATAAATTATTATTTATTATTTTATTTGTCCCTTGGGTTCCTAATGGAACATAGGGATTCAGTAGCACGTCTCTGTTCTCTGAAATCTTTTGAATCTGGCTCCACGACAGCCCAGTAGCTCTCATTTCCTCCTCGCACGATCTCCTCCATGTCACTTCCCCTACAGACTCCCAACTCGTCGTTTCCCATCTGGGTCCCACTCGAGGGCCTGACGCGTGATGTCCCAGTCGGTCTTCTCAGTGTATGCCCAATCCATCTCCATTTCCTTCTGCATATTTGTTGAGCGATAGGTTCTTGGTTGGTTCGTTACCGGCCAGAGCTCCTTGTTGCTTATTCTTTCTGGCAATCCATCTGATCTTCAGTGGCGAGCCTAAGTAGTTGTTGCTGAATGTCTGTAGTTTATTGGAAATCCCTTTCGTAACGCGCCAAGTCTCTGAACCATATAGGAGCACTGACTTGACTGAATTGGAGTTGAAAATCCGGATCTTGTTCTTTGTGCTGAGTGCAGAAGATCTCCACACTGGTTTCAGGTTAACGAACGCCTGTCTTGCTGTGTTCCCGATGCTGGCTGAATTTGACCTCCTTTTCTGTGCCGCCTGTAGTTGAAACGATGCTGCCTAGATAGGTGAAAGAGACTACTTCCTTTAAGTTTCTCCTGTTGATGGTGATTGGAACTTGTTGTTGTAGTTGGTTGGGTATCTTCATCACCTCTGTCTTCTTTATATTCACTTGAAGTCCCGTCTTCGCTGCCTTTTCAGTCAACTTGTTAGTTTTCGCCTTTAGGCCTTCAAGTTTGTATGACATTAGACACAAGCCATTGGCGGAATCCAAATCTTCTAGGTTCTTTTCCGCAGTCAAACAGCGTATTCCTCTCTTCTCGCTCCCCATTGTTTGTTGCATGATCCAGTCCAATACAATCAGGATGAATACCAGCATAAAATCAAGAAATAAATCATCACAAACCCCTGAATGGGGATGATTGTTTGTTGGACAATGAAAGTATCTGTCATTCTGATGTAATCTGACCACTTTATTAACAAGGAAAAGTTCAACTAATCTCTTCAGCTCTACTGAAAATAATCGATTTATAAAAATCTCATCTAATTGTATAGCTGCATCAGCATGAACAGACTTGTTGATGACAAAATCTCAGATCGGATAGGGATCGCTCTTATTCTGTGTCAACTTGTTTCATGTACTGCGCCGACTGGCAAGATATTCGATTATTTTTCAAAGGATGAGTATGCGGTACTGCAGTTCGTTTTGTTTCTAATGTGTGAGAGATATGGCCATTAAAAGTAGTAGATATGAAGCTGCGACATGTTTGATCACAGATGCCTTGGCAGCAATGCTCGCGTTTAGTCGAATCACTGTGTGAGCAATGTTGAGGTCAGGCGAAGGGTAGGAAAGCAAGTAAAAAGCAAACAAAATATGGGCTATAATGATTTTTTTTTACTGGCAGATGATCGAAGGTGAAGTGGAAATTTGGATTCTTGCCTGAATCGAAACAGGGACCATCGGGTTTCTGGTTCTATACTCTGCCAACTCAGTTACTAATTTCGACTGCTGACCAGATTTTTATTTCTCTTCAGTCATCAAGGGTTTTTGTCCGACTACCATGTGAATTCATGACGCTTTACTACCTTCAATCATCACCCAGTATAAATACTAGTCTGCCAAACTACTCCTATCTCACTCAGATAGTCAAATGATAATCGATATGAAGCTCCCCTCTCTCTGATTCAGTTACATTTGGATTAAGATGAGAAGCTCTGACTAGGCAGCAGCCAGTGTGAATACGATCAAGTGGTAGTAATGCGTCACGAATTCATATGGTAGTTGGGCAAAACCCTTGGTGATTGAAGTGAAATGAAAGTCTGGTCGGCAATCGAGCCGCATATCATTGAGTCGGAAACCCAGTGGTCTGTGGTTCGAATCCGGAGCAGCGATCCAAATTTTCATCTCACCTTCAATCATCACTCAGTAGGAATACTAGTCTGCCAAACTACGGCTATCTCACTCAGATAGTCAAAGTAATATTCTATAAGCCTGATGGTCATGAGGACAGTTACTCAACGATGACATTGGGTGGCGGTTGCGTTATATCGTGAGCTAACAGAAGTTGGAAATATGGAGCATTAGATTCTAACCCAGTGGCTCAACGTACTGGCCACGGAACCTGAAGGTCACGGATTCGATCCGGGCAAGGAAGGGTCTTGGGTGCGTACTGCTGAGGAGTCCTATACTACGACGAATCAGCTGTCGAGTTCTCCCAGGTTTTCTTTGTTTCTCCAACTGATGTCAGTCTGCAATGAATAACAACTTGATATATATGACCTAATACTGCCTACCTCACATTTCCAAACCTTCAACACTTAGTATATTCTCAAAGCAATGCACTATGAATTGTTTTATGCGAAAATTTGTTTATCTTTTGAAAAGAAATCAATTTTTTTTGTCATTGAAAAACTGCCAAAAAAAAAGTACTTTTCTTCTTTTGAAAAGAGATGAATTACCAACAGTTAACTAGGGGTCATTGTCTTAATAATAATAATAAAACAAATGCGAGTTATTAATCTAAGGATATACATAGATTGGCCTTTTGTTAGGTCATATATTGAATTTTTATATCCTTTTTGCTTATAGACACATTTTTTTCTTTATTTTAATGAATACTGATTATACGTATATCTTTCGGTTTGAGATTATTTTCTACCTGTTCTCTTCTCGTGTTCTTTCTTGTCTTATCATGATCGTGGTTGGTTTGTTTCAATATCTTTTCACTTGAGGATTTGTTTTTTAAACTAAGTTTTCTTTGAATAGATTAGTCAAGCAGCGATGTTGATTCGGCTAGATTTACGTTGGAATTAAAATAATCAACTAAGGAAGCGTATCCTACTGGAAATATGTGATTGGTTGACACTTTCCAGCTGCCCAAATCGTGGGAACATTATTTCTTCTCAGGATACTTGGAAGAGAAAAAGATTTATGTGATCACATAACCCATGGGATATCTGCTTGAGGCTTGTCATACCCGGCTTTTTGTGGGATGTTGTTTTGAGGTTGGGTTGTTCTAACGCTGGATAGAGAGAACCCATACCACGGGCACCGGAAGACCTTAAGGATAGGTGGAGTATTATTTTACGGCCGACCTGTTTTAACACCTCTTCTCATTGGGAAGATGACATCAACGTGGCACTGCTATTCATCCAAGGGAAACAGTTTATTTGGTGTCACACTCCATCAGGCTAGCAACAGTACGACTTCACCCTCAGACCCTCATCACAGTGTAGTAACTAACACTACAACGGTAACTGCTTTTCGTGTAACCTCTATCCGACAGGCGTTTCCGGGGCAGTAGGACCTCGAGGGAACAAGTGTTTTTGGTCAGTATAGCTCGTTGAGTCATTGTGGTATGAAAGGATGACGACCACATCAAGGGAGCATCTTTCGTTTAAGACATTTTAATTGACCATCAGCAATGCTTCAGTTGCCCGACATCCAGCCTGAACATGAACAGGACGTACATATTGGTCCTTCAATCCTCCTTGAAGCTGATAAAGCTTTATCGAACCTGAAACGATACAAAGCAACAGGACCTGCCAAATAGCCACCTGAAGTTTTGAAAGATCAAGGTAGGAAATTGCTAATTAAAATGAGTTACTGGGTACTATATGAGAATAAGCGGCAGTCTCGTCAAACTGATGTACTTCATCGATCATCCCAGTGTATAAGAAGGGAGAGAAATCTTCTTATGACAAGCATTGGAAAATTAGGCTGATCAATATTGTGTTCAAGGTTCTAGTGTCCATAGTTATCCGACGCTTAACTGGAGCTTCCGAAGAAAAAACTAAAGAAAACCAAGCAGGTTTCAGGCACAGTTTAGCGACGGTGTGTCGATCATATTTTCACCCTCCGACAGGTTCTGGAACACAGGTATACCTACCAGGTAGTGGCTGATACTTGCTATATATTTGTTGTCCTGAAGGCGGCATTTCACTCTATCTACCTTGAGGTGTTGTGGCATCGTCTGATTGTGAAGAGAGTACCTACTAAGTATGTTACGCCTATCGAAGCTGTCTACTCTAACTCACACCATCATGTTCAGGCTTCTGGAGAGTTGTCATGTGAATTGACGGCAAATAGTGGTATCCCTCAGGGATGCTTACTGTCACCGTTCCTATCTAACTTTGTCATTGATGTACTAATGGAGATAACCGTACGTAGATCTGACTTCGCAGTGATGAATCTACTCCTCGATAGTCATATGGTTTATTTAGAGTATGCAGACAATGTTGTCCTGATGGGTGAAGATGATGATACAATGTAGAATCTTCTGCACGTGTTGAGCAGAAATCTGAGTATGTTTAACATTCGTTTCGCATGTGTTAAACGTAAGACGATACTCTGAGATTGGTCTGCTGCAAGTAGTCCTTGTTTAATGATAGGGTGGAATGTGTCGACCACTTCACTTATTTGAGCAGTTACATCAACCCGAACGTAGTCGTTACTAACGAAATCTCAACTCGAATACAGAAGCCTCATTTGGCACTTGCCAAAACATGCTTCACCAAAAGCCTAAACGCTGCATGCATGATTACATCACACCCCGTTATGTTTGCTGATTTATATGTGTATGTGCGCATAAACACTTTATTGTTACACTACGCCTACCTTTGTAAACTTTGTTTTCTTACCGGGATGAGGATCAACTAAATCAGCCATCCTGTTTGTTCTATTTCATAACTCTTCACTTCGGACACCTGAGCGTTATTCACTGAGTCACGATAACCACACCTTGCGCTATGGGTATAGTTTGCGTGTTATTGCTTGCAGCCTCACCTCGTTTATTGTACCGAATTGATCGGTCATTATTGTATCGTTTTATTCAGGCAAGTGATTACATTTTCCTATGTGACTGGTGCTGAGATACTCATGATTTTAATATATTAAGCCGTGGGGAATAAGTGACATTAGTTATAGTGAGATTAAAGACAACGCATTCTGTCTTAAGCGTTCAGTGATGTCATATGGTTGCTAGTTAAGCTTCGTCTACACTTTGAAATTCCTACATATTTTGGTCTTAGATGTTGAGAGATGATCGGCAGAGAAAGCTATGCTCAACGTAGTTTTTGGCACCGTGAGCAAAGTGTATCTGGAAACATGAGGAAGGTCGTATCTTGGTTGTATTGTGTTCTCTCAGCTGGGTTGTTTAATCGTGAACCTTTCATCGTCTTGCTAGACGATATCATTAGCACTAACTTCAGTATTAAGTGAGCTGTCAGTATCTCTCCGTGAGTGATTTAGTGGCTTGCTCTGACTAAGTGGTCTGTGATTGGTTGTTTCCTTCGATTGTTGTGTCATTGATTGTCCAAATTTTGGACAGAGGATACACAAAGAATGTCAGAGAATTCCTAGAAGCTTGGCATTCTGGTCAGTCGGCAGTCAATAGATGGAGACATAAACCCAATCTATCAACCAATAGGAAACATGATAAACGACAGAAAGGTGGGAGGTGAAGCAGAGGAACAGCCAACAAGAAAGTCTATACAATCAATGACACAACAATCGAAGGAGACAACCAATCACAGACCACTTCGTCAGAGCAAGCCACTAAATCACTAGTGGAGGGATATTGACAGCTAACTTCAGATTGAAGTTAGTGCTAATATCGTCTAGCAAGACGATGAAAGCTTCACGATTAAACAACCCAGCTGAGAGAACACAATACAACCAAGACCACCCACCTGAGCTACAAATATTCTCCATTATTTCGAAGGTCGTATCTAATACATCCTGAGTACTAAGATGGTTACACTTCTACTCCTCACTGGTGATCAATATGTGTGCAATTTAAATAAATATATATCCTGTCAGAGTTGACTAACCAACTGTTGCTTAAACAATGTAATTATAAGCTTCGAGATTACATAATAAGTTGTATTTACGTAGGTCATATGAATGCATCTACTTTCTTCTCACATGTACGCACCGCATTCTTTATCAAATTCTTTTTACAGCATGAATTAGTTATATTTCTAGTTATCTAAACTTATCGTAGGCGATCTACTCTCTGTGATCTTAACATTACGTGTACAATAGCGTGTGTGTAAATCGAGTTCCCCATAAAAGCAGCTTGTTTGTGTCGTTACTCTCCTTAATCATTTTGTTCTGTTTTTCCGATCAACTGAACACAATTCTTCTCTTAAAGTTGTTTTGTTTTTAGTTAATTGGAAGGAGGGTAGATCAATTTTCAAGTTAGTTACAGTGTTTTCAGTATTATGGGTAACCAGAAGTTTTATTCATCAACTTATTCCATCCTTTGTGTTGAATAAATTTGAATATAAAATGCCTCTCAACATCTAAGCTTTCACCTCAAAGGTGTACATTATTTTGTACAAATATTCAAATTCGATGGTTCAAATAAGCCTCAGAAATATCGTTCATGGTGTTGTCGAAGTACATCATCCATGTATCGTAGAATCATGTAGTGTGTGTTGGTAAGATTTCTAAAACGTTTGGTTAAATACGAATCTGGTTAGAAGTCGCTCGACGTATAGACGATTCCAATGATGAAGATTGTTGTAGGTAACTAAATAAGCAATAAAGTCTAGCTGTGATTGGGTAAGATTAGTTTTAGATGACTTCTTTTCAATGTATAGTGAGTACGAAAAGAATTAACGACTTGATGATATCAGTTACTCTACTAGTCGAGATATTCCTTATTATAGAAAGATGTAAGTTGGTGGTGTTTGAAGTCGAAAGGAAGAACTGGATAGCAAGATGATATTTCATGTCTTCAATTCTATGCGTAGTTGATGGCAGAATTCTAGGATTTAGTTGTACAGATAACAGATTTCATCTAACAACTCAGTAACAATTAAATTTTTGAGGGGGTTGTGGAGATTTGGAATATTTCAAGTTGTTATTCATCGAAGACTGACATCAGTTGGAGGAACAAAGGAAACCTGGGAGCACTGGACAGCTGTTTCGTCCTAGTATGGGACTCCTCAGCAGTGCGCACCCACCGGTGGAGTCAAAGCCTGATGGCCGTGAGGACAGTTACTCAACGATGACATTGGGTGGCGGTTTGCGCTATATCGTGAGCTAACAGAAGTTGGAAATATGGAGCATTGGATTATGACCCAGTGACTAAATGGTAACGCTCTGGCCGCGGAACCTGAAGGTCGCGGGTTCGATCCCTGCTGGTGGGGTCGTGGGTGCGCACTGCTGAGGAGTCCCATACTAGGACGAAACAGCTGTCCAGTGCTCCCAGGTTTCCTTTGTTCCTCCAACTGATGTCAGTCTTCGATGAACAACAACTTGAAACTCAGTAACAGTCTGTCTAACTCCTTTTAACTGACTTTTATTGTTCTCTCCCTCTTTCTGATGTGATTTCCTATCTCTGTTGAACTTCGTTTCCTTGATTATTACTTTTATATCAAGTGTTTAGCAGTTTAAAAGTCTGGCAAATAGAATTAATGTAGTGTTTCATTGGATTCTATGTAGGTCAAACTAAAAACCAGTTACCAGAAATATAAAACTGGTATTTTGTATAGTGGATTTTCACTTTACATAGATTATATGTTGATTGAATTTCGTTGGAGATAATGCGAATGAAATCGTATGTTCTGTCTAATTTATTCATTTTACGATTCCTATTGGGTGATCCATTCCTTGGTGGTGAACTGTTTCTTACAAATGAACAAACAAATTAAGTACAATCTGGTATTGAATAAAGACCTATGTTTTTACAAAAGGACAAACGTTCACTGAGGATTGTAGTGTATCGTGAATGGATTAATGTTTAGAGGTTACTATGGCTAAGAAAGGTTTGCTTGGCTTTTGCCAACTTACTCCATCTCTGGGCCTGCCACGATGTCTGACTGTCTATTAAGAGTCGAGTGTACTGTTACACAGTCTGCTCTATTCTACTGTACGGCTGTGAAATATGACTGTTAAAGACATGAGAAGTCTTCATGTGTTTAACGACTGTTGCCTTCCTAGCATAGGCCGCGTTTTGTGGTGTCAGCATGTGAGTAACACGGAGGTCAGGCGTAGAGTTTTAGGATGAAGAAGTTAGTTGAGTCAGTTGACACAGTTGTGAACCTTCATCGACTGAGATGGTTCGGACACACGTTACGTGTGTACAGTCACCAATTGCCTCGTCACACAATGTTGGCGGAAGCAGGTTGATGCCGGATAAAGGCTCGAGCCGGCCAGGCTAATATATGGCATCAATGTATGAAGTCTCTGACTGTTGGTCTGAGCCATGTAGGGCGATGCAGACTAGGTGGTTGGGTTAGCAGGACAAGAGAAACCAGTGGTTGGAGATTGACTCTAGGTGATGTGGCCAAAGAACCGATGTCAGTGACGCAGATGTACACACACATTATCCTCGCCCTAACCGCTATACTTATTCTCGTCATCATCTTGTTCCTCCTTCTCTTTTGTCGCTTTCTGCCTCTTTCGACCGATTTTCCGTTTGTTCTTCATCTTCCATTTTATTGCCTTGTTACTTGTTGTGCTGATACAAGGTATGGTAACTTATACCGTTACATAAAAATCCCTGGTCTTTTGTTGATTTTGATAATGATGATGATAGGCGACCAATCTACTATCTGTTTGATACCCATCTGATTCCTTAAATATTTAATGCCCTTTTGTCATAACAACTGAAAGTTGTCTCCCTGTCTACACGGAATGATTAACACTTTCCACTGCTAACGAATCCTATGACTCAATGGTAACGTGCTGATCAGGGAAACTGAAAGTCTTGGGTTCGTCATGGGCGCGCACTGCTGCGCACAATAAAACATACAGAGTTATTCTTGAAACAGTTAGTTAAGTCGAACTGTTGGTTTTTATCCTCTTATTACTGATCCACCCTCTGCAGTAAGAGAATGAATTTATTTAATAGTTTTGTAATGTATTGGAATCAATTTATTATTACTATTATTTGGTATTATCGCGTTGTTATTTTTATGTTTTGTCTTTTTTTCAGTATTTAATTTCACAACCATTTCTTCGAAAAAGTAAACTACTCTACAGTTTTCTTACATCCAATGAACCATTTAATACAAATTTGTTTGAATTGAATTTGGGGCGGTTTGTTAAATCTGTCCCATTGAAGTTAACAAAAGAGGTGAGTGAATGAATATGGTTGTATTATTCAACTTACATTTATTGAAGAAATTTCATTACGCTTAATTAACTTCAAAATTATCTAATTTCAGTAGTAAATATAGTTTAAACCATGGAGTAATGGAAAATTTTTAACCGTATTATGTCATTGTATGTCAGTACTCATGGGATACCTTCTCTGAGAGGGCGAAGATATGAACCTTCCGTTTACAACTGTTCAAGTACTCTAGTCTGCTTTCGTTCCAGTATACATTTAAAAGTCTTGAACTCAAGATAATTATAAACAACTATTTACGATTAAATCATCTATGCTTGAAACCAGTCAAAGACACAGGAAGCAATGATCGGTTATTCACCACATATACAAATCGTCTGAATACATCCAGAGAAATGATGACCACTTAGGAGTTTTAATTGGTCTGTTGATATTCTAATTCATTCCACAGTAAAGTTTAACTGTTAATCAAAAGCATATCAATGATATGCATATGAATCAAGTTCTGCTTGAATCTTCACTGTTATTTAATCACTACGGTTTTTGCATGATTTTATAATGTCTTGTTGAGTGACCCTAATGGGCGGCACCCTAACAATCTGTTAAGTGGTTGATCAGGTTTCTCTAATTCATGTAAAAAGTAACATTTAAGTAGAAGTAGTTAAAATCAGTTGATTACCTCATTAGTTGCTAGGGTAGGTTGTAGAGTCATTCTTTGTGTGTTATGTGATGACCATAAAGTATTTCTTATTATTGACCACTATATAGTAATGCATTTTTGAGGTGAATGAGGATTTTAATTTCGATGTGGTATTCATCATGAACTGACATCAGTTGAGCAACCACTAAAAGCCTGGAAGCACTTGACACTTGTTTCGTCCAAGTATAGGACTCCTCAAAAGTACAGTACTCACACACGACCCGGCTAGGGATCGGACTTAGATTTTAAGGCGGACGCGTTAACCATTCAGCTACTGAGTCGGAGTAAAATGGTTCACAGTTTTCCACTCCTATCAATTTGCGATATACCGCGAGTATCATCCAAGATGGATATCGCGAAGTTTTAATGAGGAGCTGTGACCTGTGGGTTCAGTCAGTAGGAGGGAAGCGGATACGATCTGAAGACCTTTGGATGATAACCGTGGTACATCTTGAGTTGATAGCAGTTAAAACTGTGAACCATTGTACTCCGACTCGATGGCTGAATGGTTAACGCGTTCACCGTGAAACCTAAACATCGTGAGTTCGATGCCTAGGCGGGTCATGTATGCATTCTGTACTGATGAGTCGCATACTAGGTCGAAACAGCTGTGAGGCTTTCAGTGGTTCCTCAACTGATGTCAGTCCGTGATGAACACTACCTCAATATTTCCTATTAATTTGATACGAATGTCTGTAAAGGCCATTCTTAGATTTTTCAAGATGACCAATCACATCTCTTCATTGCATGAAAAGCGACCTTCACAGCCAAAACGACTGAAATGTGATTGGTTATTTCAGTAGTTGCTAGAGGGGCTTTTAAAATCATTTGTTAACTACACATCTAAGTGATCCGGTTGTGATCCATATAGGTAGTGAATCATCCCTACTGAATCGCTGACCTCAGTTCTCACGGGAGACTTTAAAGGCCACCCTAACATTATCTGAAACAATCACTTTCCTAGTACTTCTGTGCCATATCTTCACATTTCTTTTGCAATCTGGTCAGCCTTGCCAGCCAGCTTCAAATATAGTACTCACATTCCATGTCCCTATGCTTAATTTTGCTTTCATTGAGAGAAAAAACACATCGACCATTTGGTTTCCTGAAGGCTTTTACCAACTGGTGTCATTTCGTCTCCCAAATTCCAGTATGGAATAAGTTTATTTTGTATATTTCGTATGTGCTTTGAAGTTTCTTTATCGACTTGATTGATTTTCCATCGTCGGGTCACTAGCCTTATTCCCAACCTTTCCTCTTTGTTCGGGTTTAGGACTGGCTAGTAAACTAGGCGACGTTGAAACAACCAGTTAGACTTTTCTATTTTACGAAAATCTGCTTTTCCAGCTAAAATGGAGAAAGCTAATTGGTCATTTCAATCGTTCCTAATGTGGCCTTTAAAGTCGCCCGTTTTCACTCGCTGACGATTAATAGTTAGATTAATACAAAGTGATGTAATTGTAGAAGACAACCGTCTCCACCTTACGGATCAGATTTAATGATGATTATTGGGTTTAACATACAGTCCATCAGCTGTGTTAAAATATACCCAAAATGCGTCACGTTTAAAGGAAAGTAAACCAATTTTGTTTTTAAGTCCCTCAATCAATTTCAGATTTCATTGTATTCAGTAAGTAATGGCACATATCTTTATTGCAGCTTTTATTGAAACAATTCAGTCGATTCGTCATTGACAGTACTCTCATGGTTAGATTGAAGGTAGTATAGTTAACACCATGCTCTCTGTGACACTTAACTGTCTTGTGTTCTACCTATAAGGAAGTCATAGGTGTGTACTAGTGAAGAGCCTCATACTAGTACGAAACTGCTGCCCATTACTTCCCGATTTTCGGTGGCTCTCCAGCTGGTATCAGTTTGTCATGAATACCACCACGAAATTATTCCAAATGTGGTGAGTGAATCAAAATATGATTTCTGTGGATAACACATGATTGGAGCGAAGAAAACCATTTTTCCACCTAAATTATTCACATGGTGTCACCATGTGAGTAATGCAGAAGTCAGGTATAGAGTTTTAGGGAGTAGAGGTAAATCAGTTGACGAGGTTATGAACCTTCATCGACTGAGATGGTTCGGATACACGTTACGTATGTGCAGTCACCGATTGCCTCGTCACACAATGTTGGCCGAAGTAGGCCCAGGCTAGAAAATGGCTCGAGGTGGCCAGACTAAAACATGGCACCAATGTATGAAGTCTCTGACTGTTGGTTTGAGCCATGTAGGGCGATGCAGACTAGGTGGTTGGGGTCGGTGAGACAAGAGGAACGAGTGGTTGGAGACTGTCTCTAGGTGATGATATGGGTGAGAATCGATGTCAGTGACGCAGATGTATACACATACATTATCCTCATCTTAGCGTTATACGGATTCTCACCATTTTGTCATTCTTCCTTTCTTTCTTTTGACTGGATTCTCTTATCTTCATCTTGCGCCTCACTACCTTTTTACTTTATGTACTGATGTGAGGTGTGGCAACTTGAACTGTTATGCAGTGATGCCTGGTCCTATGTTGATATTGATGATGATGAAATTATTCTTTTAGCTGTAAATTCGTGAACATATAATAAAAAGGATACAACATTCTAGAGTAATTTCTGGTCAAACGAAAGTGACTGCAACATAAAAGTAGTTACGTCATATATGGGTTATTTAGAGTGGTCAGTAATCGATGATGAGTATGGCATAGAAAAAGGTTGTACTTCTTTTGAATACATAAGGATGATTTTCATTTTTGAATGGCTAGCACTTCAGTTTGCTCAGGTGTCTAAGCGCCTCACTCCTTTCGAATGCTTTCAACGACTTATCAAAAGGAATTAAATATTCTGAGTTTACTAAGTGTTCTGTTACAAAGCTGAGAATTTATTTCTTGTCAACCAAATTGGATAATTTTTATGAGCGTATTGCATAAACTGGGAGATTTTACAGATGATGTATTGCGCTTCACTGGAGGCAAGTAAAGTAATATACACACTCTGATGTGACTGAAATTCCTAAGCTAATCCTTTGCATACTGACGAATGAATTTGTGACGGGAGAATGTGATTTTAAGATTAGCTGCAGATATCGTTCTTTTTTGTAGGTAGTTGCTTTCTAAGTACATCTGCCGCTTTATTTCCCATAAATTTGAGGTTCAACGGTTAAATATTTTTTGGAGCAGTAGACACGCGTTCTGTAGCGTTTTCAGGCTTTAGATTCTTATCTATCAATGTCAGTGGGTATGCATTTCTCATCAAAATTTCTTGAATTGTCATCTTTTCTTTGAAGCTGGACGTCAAGGAACTGAAATTTTGAGTTTGACTGCTTTCATGTAGTGAATTTGATAAAGGGATGAGCACTATTGAAGGTCTGAAGGAGGTTTTCCAGATTCATATTCTCGTCACAAATAATCAGAGGCTCACCTATTTATCTTTAGTAGATATAAAGTTAGCTGAATCTTTTCAATACGGTCTTGTCTTTCAGGCATGCCATAAAGCAGTCAGTTGGGAAGGGTTCTAGACGCGATCGCGTAACTACATCGTCTATCTGTCTATAGATTTTGTTTTTAAATCTGTAAGGCATGTTGAAAGTACTTCTAAGAAGAAGTTCCTTTCCACAGTGATTTCGGATACCAGTGTTTAATTTATGGGACTGAATGAAGCTAAACAGAGAACAGTGGCTAACATTGAAATCCAGGATGCACATTTCGTCCTATTTGGGACTCGTTAGCTGGATGTACCTGCCTCCCAGTGAGTGATGTTGCTCCCACCGGGATTCGGTCTGATCAACAACGGTATAATCCAAGTGACAACACTAAAACTATACCCGTAACACATGAAGTGGCAATCCTGACTCAGTGGTCTAGTGGATAACGCTGTAGAGTTTGAAGCGATCGGTCCCGAGTTGGAATCCCGACGAGACAACATCACTTACTGGAAGGCAGGTACATCCAGCTGACGAATCCCAAATAAAACTAAATGCGCATTCTACTGCTCACCCCTGTTCGTCATTACTACAAGAAAACCAATGGTCTACGTTAGTGGAACGTTTGTAAATAAGATGACATCCAGAGATATTGTCTTCTTTCCTGATAGATCAACATTTTTGATTAAATCAACAAAGTGAAGTGTATCACTCAGGGGATATTTCATTCTTCATTGGATCCACTATCTTTATGAATCGTCTTACAATTGAATAATAAGGAGAAGGGGTACAGCTTCTCTATGCAGTTTATGTAGACTGTATAATCAAGGGATTAAGGAACTTGTTGGATAGAGTTGTTCATAGAATTCAATGCTTCATCTATCAT